TGAGCCTGTCCTGGTCGATGTCAAAGTACAGGGCCCAGAAGCCGCCGCCCTCCTTGACGGCGAAGAATCCCTCCCAGCCGCCAAAAGTTAGCCTACGATCCTGGCGCGTGCAGTCGAAAGGGCCGGAGAAGTTGGGCTCCGCCCAGGCTCGCGTGCCGAACTTGACCTCGTGGGTATCGCGGTCCACATAGATCCAGTTCATGATTGGGGGCTCGTCACAGATGGTTGAGACAAGGCCGGCGTACTTCTGCTCCGGGAACTCCAAGAAGTAGCCCGCGAAAGGGTGCCCGAAGGCAGCTTCATAGTCCGTGCCTGTATCTATGTAGAGCTAGAATCCGACCCAGCAGATGGTAAGTAGGAGAATGAGGTGTCTAGGCCAAGAAAGCCGGAAGCAAAGGTGAAGTAGAATCAGGGGCGCCCAGGCAAGCCAATTGGGCAACATACCTTATCGCCGGATAGAACCACGGCCCTACCCTCTAATATTGGGCTATATTGCGAGGATTTTGGGATGTGAACTGTCAGGTTGTTTTTCCGACTGCGGTGCTCGTTCCGCCTCGATTGCGCTTGCGTATTGCGGATAGCCTCGGCAGTACCAAACATGGCTGAGAATGCAATAATGAATGTAGCCATTGAGATCGCCTGCCCAAGACAGGAAATACGCGGTTCGAGGAAGATGGGGGTGTATGATTTGCAGAGTGGCTAGCTGTTTTCCTGAGGGACAATATGCTCATGGTGGAATTTATGTCATCCCCAGAGATCTGCCACGGCCCAACACTCCCGATGATCCATGAGGCTGTGACGTGCAGCATAAGAGCTGAATTGGGTTGTTTCAGGAGCTGCCAGGTAATGGCTGGGCTACCTACATGCGATGGGATAACCCTGCAAGCGGAAACTTATATGTGCCTAGGGGCTTCCTACTTCTCCCGGCTGTCAGTAATATAGCATTCAAGCCAAGTACAGAGAAACAACGTATATCCTAGTTTCATTTCCCAAGCTATCGATGTGCTGTCTAGCCACGTAAGAGTGTTTCCAGAATCTGCAGTCCACAATGTCTGCTTGTATTCATCTCAACACTCAAGCATAGGCCACCTTGCATTATAGTCAACCTCTGGTGGATTCATTAATCCTGACCTCAAGCAAAAGCACCAACCAAAAATATATCTCAGGATCGATTCACAGTCTTCGAATTGTGTATATAAGATGCGGATGCCATGATCTCTGAACCATCCACTTCATCAGAGGGCCATCATCATTCTCACAATCGCACCAACAATAGGCCAGGTCAACAGCTCTCTAGTGTGCCTTGCCTAGTTATCCCTTTCCGAGAACCTCCCAACTCTAGTCTGAAAAGAAAGCCCAAGAAGTCATCTCTTAGAGATCCTTCGACCTGCACCCGAGATCACATTCACGCACCTAAATCACCTCATCCAACACTTGTTAAACTCATCAAAATGTCTTCTCCGTGAGTTTCACATTCTTTCCGAGTTTAATGATGATTGTTCATGCTGACTTAAACGTAACATAGCAGTGTCAAGGCCGACGCTACCAGCAAGCTTGATGCCTTCGGTCGTGATGGACACAATAGCCTCCCCATGCCCGGACTTTCTGGCAAGCCCAACGGACCTATTGGTGAGTGTCACTGATACTCTCTTACTTATGACACCTTATCAAGCCAAGACGGACTACTGATAGTCGGCATAGGAAACCTCCTCAAGGGCCCTGTTGATGCCAACGGCAAACTCAAGGACGCGGCCCTCATGGTTGGCATCAAGCTTGACCTTGAGGCCGAAGTTCATCTCTCCGCAAGGGTACGCGGTGACATCCTGGTTGGACTTTATTGATAATGAATTGATGGGTGAGACGTGGTACGGGAATGCCAGGATCGGGACCAAGATCGTCGTCAAGGGATTGTGCGCTCGCATCCTGGCGCATGGGCGCCTGTCGCACGCGAGTATAGCCTCCTTGACATTTCACAACTGGGTGGCCGGACTAGAGCACTTCGTCCTCACCACTTCCATAGTGATCTTCTGCACTTTTTTCTAAAGGCTGTTCATTCGCCCCCGTATCAACATTCTGACAAGTGATTTCTCTTTTCTCTATGTAACTAGTCTCAACGATATTTAGAATCATGCTTTGCGATTTCTCACATCTCAGTAAAGAGTGAAGTGTGCGTTTTCTTTAATTGGTTTTTTTTCCTCTCTCCGCCATAAGTAACGCTCCTCTCAAGTATGTGAAGTATAGAATTTCCTTGGTGGTTCTACATAGCACACCCAATTCGACCATTTAATCGCGTGAAGTTTAGTAGTGTACACCAACGGAGCTCAACGAACTACAGCAAGACAAAAGGTTCTTTCAATACCAAAGGCTTTAAACAGTTTCTTGAGTTGCCTGCCGAGTCGATGCGTTTCCAAACAGCCAAGGCAAGTCTTTAATGACATTAAACAACACCGCCACGACCATCAAAGCCAGCGCACAGATCGGCCCCAGTATAGCGAAGACGGTAAAGCCGTACGAGGCCTGCAGGAAGGCCGAGTTGTTGCTGAGCTGCTCAGTCGCGAGCCCAACCTGCATGGCGGTCAGCACCAAGGCGATGTAGACCGTGGTCGCCGTGATCAAGGCGATGTTCTCCCCAAACAAGTCGCTGTAGTCGCGCCAGCCGCGGAGGTACGGGTCAAAGGGCGGCAGGCGCGTGAAGCGGTGGATGGTGTTGAGGCGCGAGAGGCGTAGCTCGCCGCGGAGGAAGCGCGGGTGCACGCGGTCCTGGTCGTGCGAGGCGAGAATCTCCCGCGCGAGCTGCTTCCAATGGGCCCATTTCATGGTGGTTTCGCCGTCGTCCGTAATGCGCGGCAGGAGTCGCAGATCGTTGGCAAGAGCGAAGTCGGTCTCCGTGGAGATGAGGCAGGCGTAGGTCCACAGGAAGCCCAGCGCTACCTTGCGCAGACCTGCTCTGCTGCAGACCGTGCCCGCATCGCCACTCAAATAGCCGCAGTTATCTTGACACAATAAGTGCTTGTTCCAGAAGTCCAGGTCGATAAGGAACCTAGGGAGCGGCTTGATGAATAGCTTCCGATTCTTATCCCAGAGCAGATGCAGGTCCATGCGGTCTGCAGGGACGATCTCGCGGCCGATGGCGACCTGAAGATGCAGCTGCATGGCGGGGTGTTTGGCACCGGCGAACCACAGGTGCTTCATCATATTCTCCAAATCGCCCAGGGACAGTTCTGTCTCCAGAAACGACGAGACGCGATTATCAGGGCTGGCAACACGCCGCCGTCTCCTGGAACCATTGAATTCATGGAAGTGGTATGAGGCTGGCAAGACATCTGTAGTAGTGGCGGCTGCACTTGTCTCGCAACAGATATTGATTGTAAACTATAATATCAATATCTTAGTATACGGAAGAGCCATGCGCGGCTCGAAACTTGGGTATATGGGGCTAAATTCATCGTACTGGTTTGTCCTTACGCTGCTTGGGCACAGCGGTTTCAGAGCTATCATGCGTCAATTGGGGCGAATTGTTTGCCATCGCGTGGACTTATGGGCACCCTTCTCCTTAGCAATATAGAAACAACAATTCTCTAGTTTGCTTTCCCGTAGGAACCATGGAGTTGCCTCGGGTTTTCCTTTCCAGCATGTGGGTTTGATGGTTGGTGGCAGGTATGGCGAGAACGCCTGGGTCGCGTCGGCGGTTGAAATAAGATTGCGAGCGACTCAGCCGTTCCTCTCTGACGAACTGTCATCCTTGCGCTTTACAGCCAGCCATGGGGTTTCTGCAGCTGACAATTGATCATGGGCGATGGACCATGATTGGACCATTAAATGCTGGCCTGTCTCGCACCCTTGCTGCATTGGTTGCATTGGCACACTCATCACTCTATCCCGATTTCAGCTGCTTACAGCCAAGAATCCAGCCGTTGCATTTTTGCACTTTCAAAAAATTGACCGCCAAGCCTCAATATTTTGACTTGGCAGAGCACACTAATCGAGTGGATAAGATATATCACAATTAGCTGGTGCATAAACTGTCTAGGCTCACATGAACCAAGCACTCAAGAACCTCGGATATTTAGGTAACCTCTAAAAGGAGGAAATACCCAGGAAAATGCTAAACCTGTTCTATTACTTGAGGTATTTCTTCCTAGCAAGAATTCTCAGACTCTAAAGGCCGCTGTACTACAAGGCATTCATGACACTCTTGGAGCTAATTGCAAAGTAAAATATGCATATGTACCAGTAGGAGTAGAAGGTGTATCTAGCTCGTCTCGACTCGAATATGACCAGATGATGAAGGCAGAGCTCGGCTCACATTAGTGCGATCTACCAAGATTAAAAAAGATTATAGATTGAGGGGGTCCTTGGTACACTAGCGGGAAGCCCTCGTCTACTGAGAAAAGTCCACGAACAGGAGAAGGAAGGATATGGACAACTGTACCTGATATATCTTACATATGCTATCCCAGAACATCGGGTTATCTGCCCAAGCATACTCCTTGGGTTGTCAAGCCGGTATATTCTTTTCTACCTTTGCTTGATATCAATATGAGTGCGGGTTCATAACACTTACTACGTATAAACGTGACTTTCTACATCCTTATCCTTTAGCTTTCAACCAATCCCATGCTGCATGATATATATATGTAGAACCGGACTGCGTGTGAGCTGCTTCATAAAACCACAATCTCTCCAATAGTGTATCGTGAACTAACAATCGAGGTTTCCTATCGCCATAGAGATACATATAATTCATAAACGTGTTGTGTAGTGGTTAGGTAAGTCCAGGAAGGAGTCTGCAGGTCGAGTTGGCCGATGGACCTGCGGCCGGACCCGTACTGGCACTCCGTCTCGACCGGCACCGATAGTAGCATAGAGTGGATGACTCTTGGAAAAGTTTTCATCTGATTCACGAGTGGTGTCCGACGTCGTGTTTGTGGCTAGTCCTGCTAGTCTCTTCTATGGAGATAGTGAGCCACCGATACAAGCTCCACAAGCTTCTCCGCTTAGGACCGTTGGCCCAATGGCAAGGCGTCTGACTACGATCAGTTCAGTTTACCAACTGAGCATGAAAGCGCAATCAGGAGATTCTGGGTTCGACCCCCAGGCGGTCCTTTCTTTTTGCATTTTCTTCGACAATACACTCCGGGAGCATCATTTATCGCGCTTCTCTCGCGGTGTCTACCTAGATAGACTATCTTTGTTGGCTTGTTGAAGCTATCCCCACATTTCTGCTGCGGCGGAGTGTGCGTTTGAAAAATTTGCTTTTTTAACCCATTCAAGGATTTCAGGGTTGTCATGTAGGATGTATTGGTCAACCGGGATACAATACAGTGCCAATGATGACGCGGGGAACGCAGGCTATAGGTGCCATTCTTGTACTTCAGTAGAAGCCCCTATAGCCCAGTCCAAAAACCAGAGTGCGATTGATTCAGATTTGATAACCCGTGCCACTCAGATTATGCCCGAAGCATGCTAGTGAGATTTAGATCTTGACATCTTCGAACCGTTCCTCTACGATTAACACATTGCAATCCACGACTCAAGTCCTAGCGAAGCACAACAGACTTCTGTTCGGGAAAAGAATACGTGCAACAACTTTGTCAATGTTTCAAACGAAGACAAAACATAATGGCGAAACAGAGGTCTCAGAATACCACTGTCCAGCGGTTCTATTTCAAGAAGCGGGTTTCTCAGAATAGCTTCCTGTCTGCTACATTCAATGACCAGCGTTGGTTCTTTCACCTATCCGGGGCTCAGACGGAAGCAAGGGAATAGCAGTTAGAACGACTGGGTGTTGTTAGAGCTGGCCAACATTCTAAGACCGCTGGTTTCTAGGTATGTTCGCGATTTTTAATATGGTGCTAATATTCAAATACAAAACGAAACTAGACAGCCAAAATCGGGCCAAACCTGCAATCATTATCTCTGACTTGTTGGTTCATTTCAAAGCACCCGCCCGTTGTCGGCGTAAGCGCACTGTTACATAGACAGAATGCATCGACGCGCATACTTCTTAGATCGTTAGGTACAGTAGTAGCTGTATCTTCGCAGGATCCGATCCTACCCTCGTTAGCTGGTCCGCGTTTTCGGCGCGCCAGTGGTAGAGTTTCCACATCCCAAAGACAGTGGACCTAAAAATCTAGGAACAATTTCAGTACTGATTGGCCCGAATCAAAATGGAGTGGATTTCCCATGGGCCAAATGCGTGAACAGAAATTTCTCACGGCTCCCGCTCATTGGTCAGATCTGCCTCAAGCCACCGGCGAGCTTCTTTGGCGGTCTGATCCCCTCACTTTTCCCTTACGCTCTGAAATTTCTAAGATCCTGTCGAAACCGACCAGCAGTTGAACTAGGCGAACCGCAAAGGGGCTGGCTGGCTCCTGGTAGTACCTAATCAATACACCTGGTAACACAACGGCGACCCATCCCATCCAGGCCAGGAAGACAATTCTGCCCCACCACCTCCAGGTTTCTCTGCTCTGTGCCATAGATCCACGTGATACAGCATCCCTGGGGGGCGTTAGGCAAAAGCTATGTCTGTCATTACGGACCAGCACTTACCAAGCTCTATAGCAGCTGTCGACCAATTAGGAATCGACGTATGCTCCCCCGCCATCGTCGACAATGTTCAGTCTGACAATCTGAAAAATTAGCCTTGCTAACCACCACGCCTTGCTCAGATTGGCCTGTCGTCGATTAAGTTAGTGTGCTCTCCTACCCAGACAGAAGCCGCTTCGTCGGCAATCGACGCGCCTGTGTCCTTCTTTACGTTTGAGGCGAGTCAGATCGAGGACTGCTTGGCCCTCTTGTGCCGCTGGGCCCAGGCAAGACAATCTGCAGCAGATGCCAAGCCTCTTACCATCTTTGCGACGGGTAGTCGTGCGTCGGCTGCCTGGGACAAGATTCGTGATATTCCCGGTGTCAGTTTGCAATCAGAAGATGAGGTTCACTGCCTAGTGAAAGGTTTGCCGCTCTTATATATATACCCACACTCGATTCATATAAGGCTGATCAGCTCCTTCAGGCATTGACTTTCTCGCCACCAAGGTGCCTGATGAGGTCTTCACATATGGTGGTACCAACGACGACACTAACATACACTTCGTACCTTCTTCCAAGGTCAAGTACCCCTTCCTCTTGGTTAGTATTGGTTCGGGCGTATCTTTCATCAAAGTATCCCAGGATGGGTCATACGAGCGCGTGGGAGGTACATCTCTCGGTGGCGGAACCGTCGGAGGTCTCCTTTCGCTCCTCACCAATACGAAGCGCTCCTTTGACGAGATGGTCGATCTAGCGGAGCAAGGGGACAATGCTACGGTAGACAAACTGGTGGGCGACATCTATGGGAGGGACTATACGGGCATTGGGTTGAAGATGACGGCGGTGGCATCGTCATTCGGTAAAATGTTCTCCATGAGACCGCACAATGCTACAGATACAAAAACTGAGGCTGGCGCTCAACGAGAATCTGTAGCCGAAGCTGTGCCACATGAAGCATCGGCGGCCAGCCAGCCGTCAAGAGACCAACCGCGAGAGGCTGACATCTGTCGATCAGTGGTGTTTGCCGTCTTTAACAATCTCGGCCAGCTAGCACACCTGCATTCCGAGCTGCATGGCATCACGGATGTCTACTTTGGAGGCTCGTACATGCAGGGCTACCATCACCAAGTCATCCAGACTTTACATATTTCTGTGAACTTTTATTCCAAAGGCCGGAAGACGGCACTCTTCCTCCGCCACGCCCACGCGCTTGGAGCCTTGGGCGCGTTCCTTACTGGTTGAGCCCAGCTCTACCAGTGTGTTGACGAGTCAACGGTGTTCAGATGGGACACATGCCGACAAATTTTGAAGTGATTTTGGCGGGGGGCGTTTCTTTGATATAGCGATGCATCGGTTTCAAAAGTTAACTGATTCCTCTTTATCATGCTTCTTCAACGAGGTACACATTGAACAGCTTGAACATGACTGTTGATCAATGGGTTGGCCAATAGATATAGAGATATATATTGATGATAATGATGGTATAATAACGAGATGATAATACAAAAAAGCAGTCTCTACAACATTAAGTGGGCTATTTAGGGTCTCTTAAAGCAGCCGTACATGTTCGTACCAAAACAGAATCGCACCAGGCTTTCTTGGTATGCACCAGCCAACCATGTATGAGTGATTTGTTCATCTGAGGAGTGGCTAAGGCTTCTGTAGTTGTTGGCGAAGTGAAATTGGCCGGGTAGCTGGCATTAGCAGATAATTAAAGAGCCGCCTGGGTAGTTGCGCCACTCATGCACCCGGTGGCTTGCTCACTGAGCGAAATAGAAAAACCCAGAGTACTCCGTTTTTTGGGGCTCCCGGTACTGAGCATGGAAGTCTTTGAGGAGTCCTACGCTGAGATCGCCAGACAGTTGGATATCGAGAAACAGGACAACAGCGACGACGTCAAGGATCCAGTGTGCTGCTACCTGTCCGGATTCGAAAAAAAAGCTAGCAAGTTCTCAAGATATCTCAATACGTAGTATTGGATAGTTCCGTAGGGCATAGATTAGTATATCAGTGCTATATTGAAAGGATGTCAACTCCCATTCCCTCCACAGCACACTACTGACAACGATAGTGGTATCCTATGCCCCGTATTTCGATGATGATCTGTTGTGAGAAATGGCTCAGGCAAACTGCCAATCACAGCTATGCAACAACATCATTTCTCAGGTGTGAGTAGAACCTTATGATGGAAATTATGTCGGACCACTTATCTACCTGTGTACATAGTGTTCCACTCAGCCGGGACGCCGATTGATCACCCGGAAGGGAAGCACCCCTTTACGCGGTGCTCGTCCACCTTAACCCCTGACAATATCGGCGTAGTCGAGAAATGGAGGATACCGCAGAGTCGTATCGTCGCGCTGCAAAAGCTCAAATTCGAATATCTACGCAGTATGTTTGTAACGCGTGCCAATTTAATTGATACGATGCATGCACGAGCCCTGCAGGGATAGGGGGATGCCGACACGCATTCTCAAGTACTAATCATACCCCAGATGAATGCAATACCGGTCTGGATATGCAAGTCGGTTCTTCTTACGAACAAGGCAGAGCGAAAGGGCAAACAAAGTCCTTTTGCATGTAGAGACGGCCAAGATTGGAACAAACTCGCATGTTCCTGGTCCAATGTGCAGATGAAACACCCTGTCCGGTCGCAAGCTAGGTCAGGATCCTCCACACAGTAATGGGGCACACCTGCTGTGTAAGGTTCATAACTACCCACCAGGGAAGGAACTCGCACATGGGCAAATTTACACGCAGGACAAACCAATCTGTCTAATTACAAGTCCTTCTATCTCGTCGTTGCTGCAGCTGTCGCTATTCTGCCTGTCATTCCCTAACTACATAACATGGGCCCAACTGGTGAACTAGGGCTACTAGTTAGGGCCATCGGGCGTTTGGAGAGCTACCGACGTGGTGGAAATTTCCGTTAGCCAGTAGGGGATCCGCTCGGTACTGTAACCGAGAGTGGAAGGGATGGGCCGATTTCACAAGCTAAATATCGGGTGTGTCGCGATGTGGCCAGTAAGAGCGCACTGTCACTCCCGGGAGGCGGATGGCCCTAGCCCGCCGTAAGCCCGGCGACGAGAATAGACCTTGGCCAGGCAGAGCTGGGATTTGACCGTGGCCGCGCGCATCGGATCGCTGATTGGGTCTCATAATCTTCTGTTACGACTCTGATCATCTCATTTGGATCAGACGTGCTTGTAATCTGTACATCCCATTTCATTCTACGCCCGGTGCAGCTGTGCCGCGACCGATTAGGAATACCATGAGGATACATACGGTATGGTATGGGATATCATGCTCAATGAATTTATTATTCTAGGAGTCAATAGAAGAATGTTTGGCCACAGAACCAACCACAAGCGGTACCTGATCCAATGCTAGTGAGGTCGGTGGCAGCCGCCGGGACACTACACACAGCACATCGCACCGACTCAACTCTGGCGCCACCTGGTGAGTGTGGGAGAAATGTCGCCGATTCTGGATCCAGGGAAGAAGAAGAAGAAGAAGAAGACGGTAACACCGGGGAGTGAGGAGAATGATAAGCGACTCGAATGCGATGACGA